TACCTGCCCTTACGTACCTACCTACCTACCTACCTGCCCACCTACACCACACACCTACACACCCAACTACCCTACCTACCATGCACATTTTCACACCTGCCCCCTGCCACCTGCACCCTGCATGCCTCTGTATGCGTGCCCTCTGTGCCTCATATTGCCTGCACTTACTCTGCCTGCCTGCTTGGGTGTGCCTGCATGCCTGCGATCTGCATGCCAGCCGTTGTGCTTATCATGGGTTATGTGTGCCTGGATCTGCATTACATGTGTGTGTGTGTTCCATCATGGCCTGTGGGTGTGCAGTGTGGCCTGTGTGGTGGGTTGCCTGGATGCCTGGGTTGAAGGCAGTTGCGTGTCTGATGGAGGGATGTGTGCATGGTGGGTTGTGGATGATGGAAGACGTTTGATCGGTTGACGGATGGTGATTTGATGGAAGCTGTGGTGGATGTGGATTGAGCCTGTGGAGGTCAAGATGTCCTGTGGCTCAGGAATCGTTTGTGTGGCTGGAGGGTTTTAAAATCGGGATGCATTCCCCGTCAGTCAAGCAGTGGGTGGGTGGAGTGTCATTGTTGTGTGATCCTATGGACAGGGGTCAGTTCTGCAGTGGTTTGTGGGTTGGAGTGTGGGTTCTTCTTGCTGATGACATGGGGTTCCTCTGCCAGGGTGCTGGATCTTCAAGACTGTGTCATAGATGTGGAATGATGTGAAGCCAAGGTTAGATCATGGCTGGGATGTCAGACAATGACGGTTGACATCGGTGATTGATTATGAGGGGGTGGAAATGTGCGGGTTGTGTCGGTGCAGATCGTCATCCTTGGTTGCCAAAGGCTGCGTGTGGTGGGGTGTCATGGACTGTCGTGTTGGTTGGGATTATTCCAGTGTCTTTGGTCATGATCTTGTCATGTGTCTGTGGGATTGGCATTGTGGTGGCTCCTCACAAAGGTGTGAGTGAGGGTTGTGCAACAATTTTGTAAAAAGTTCAGGACTACCTGGCTTCCGTGTTGGTTCAGGTGTCATTGCCCGGTGCAGTGAGGGGCCCTCTGCCTGTTGAGGGGGAAGGGGTTGTGTGTTATAAGTCCATATTTCCATTGTTTTCGTGTCTATCGTGATGGAATGTGTGCCATTTGATCTTCGTTTCGGTTTGGGATAAGAATATCTATCTCTATCCCCATCTATCATACCTGCCCTTGCATTCCCTACACTGCCTGCATGCCCTGCACCGCACCGTGCCTTGCCACGTGCCCTGCCTGCCTGCCCGGCCTTTGCCTGCAGCTGCGCTGGGTGCCTGCCCGCCCGTACCTACCTGCCTGCCAGCCTTCACTGCACCTGCACCTGCCTGCGCGCGCCCGCGTGCCTGCCGCACGCCCGGCCTGCACGCGCGGCGCCCGCGTGCCTGCCGCACCGCTGCGCTGGGCGCGCGGCGCCCGCGTGCCACCTGCCTGCGCCCGCCCACACCTGCACCTACGTGCCTGCCCGCTGCCTGCCTGCCTGCCTGCCTGCACCCTGCGCACCAACATTATGGACAAGGAGAATATATACATGAAGGATATTTGAATTTATCCAATAAACGAGGTTGATGTACAGTGTGATGATATTACTAATAGGTGTGTTATAATAGATAATGGATATGAAGCAAGATGGGCAAAGTGCAGGGGGCGGCTTAATCTTGACTGGCGTTGATTAGATAGCTTACAGATCACTTTTAGTCACCTCTCTTGTGTGTTACGTGGAAGAGACAGGAATACAGGTGAGCTGCTCATTTCAAGGCACCCAGGAGATACAGGTCTGTTATACATCCCGTGTGAATAACTCGTATATATTCAGAACATCGATAGCATCAACTTAGATTTAAGGCATGTTGTTTTACATACGTACTTAGTTCTATCAACACACAAAATTTCAAAGGAAGACAAACCGAAAGTAGGGATTGTTAGACCCGAGGTTTTAAAACTAAAATGTAGCGATGATAGTTTTTGTCATTGTTATGTGTTTTATAAATGTCTGACATTCGGGTAAACATGTAAAACTTACAGTATGACTATATACACTTCCCAAAAGAAACGCATAGGTGATATTGATAGTTGAAATTTGAAATATTTTTCAATATTAGTGTTTGATTGTTATAATTTTGCCTGTATAATGCTGGTTTGTGTAAATGGAACGAATGCATAGCACAAAAACGCTCCTTTGGGAAATTTTAATGCACGTTCACGTTCTAAAGTGTCAACTTGCTGGAAAATGTCATGGAGGAAAGTGGTTCACAATATACACGTACAGTTCAGAGGAATTGTAAGCAGGGACATTGCCTATGTATGGTCGTTTTACTTTTATACGGTCGTTGGCATTTTCGTCGGATTGATATAGACCTTGGAGTACCAGGATAGGAACTGGTTCATTTTCGGAATCAAAGTGACACAGCAACTGCAAGTGCAAGCGCAGTGCCTGGTTTGAGGAGGGTGTCGGTGCAAACCATTCGTAATCGTTTACGAGAAGCTGGCCGTCGAGTCAAAAGACCTGTGCTGTGACGGAAGAGTACGTGTCTATCGACGTCTAAATGATCGATTTGCCCAGAATTGTATCGCCCAGGTTCACCGATACGGTGGAGATCTCGAGTGTCATGATGTGGGGAGCCATATCCTACACGCAGAAATCTTACTTTGTGCTCCTTCAGGACAATTTACCTGTTATTCAGTACAGAGACGAAATCTTAATGATTTACATGGTTCCGATCATTGACCGCCAGAGGGAGTTGTTCCAGTAAGATAATGCCAGGCTTCACACAGCACATGCCACTATTCAGAATCTTCAGAATGAGAACATTACAGTGCTTCCATGGCCTTCCAAATAACCCGACCTCAACCCCATCAAGCATTTGTGGGGTGACCTCGACCGACACGTACGTGTATCATTCTTTATGGAATAATAAAGACGTGTTTTTAAAAGACCCTGTTGAACCCGCAGAGGCTATCCCAGTATCCCCCACATTTCACAAGAGCGACTTAGTAGTGAGCAGTTTGTGACCTGGCTGGGCATCATCAGAACCCGGATGTGATTCGTGTTGTGCAGATGGCGACGTCCTGGGAGGAGAAAATGACGGAATTCCTGACCTGTGTGATTTGCCAGGAACTGTACACAGACCCGTGTACACTGAGGTGTGATCACACATTCTGCAGGAAATGTGTCAACTGATACATCCAAACCAGACTAGATGCTGTACAGTCCAAGACCATCCCCTGTCCCTCCTGTCGACAAGATACCAAGGTCCCCCACCCCAGCAGGCCGGTGGAGGAGTGGGCGGGGCAGATCAAAGCCAGCATCATTATACAAGGGCTGATTGACACACAGGAACCTTCTACAAGTACTGCAGGTGCAAATACCGATTGTCCTACTGATTATTATCAGTCACTTGTGTGAATTGTATGATTAAGCCCGAAAAGCCCTTGAAAATATATATACATGTAATTTGTCTAAAATACAAATGGCACAACATGGAAGGAATATTTGTAGATCTTCAGGGTACCTGGTATCAGGGGATCTTCGGGGTATCACTCTCTCTATGCCTTAAAATAGTCATGAATTTACCTGGATTTCTCAGTCTTTAAGAGAAGCGACAGAACCCTTTCCACATCTGAAAGCAAAGTCGATTGTACAAGCTTATGAATATATCATTGTGAATTGTTGAATTACCATAGACATGTCCACTTTCAGATACTGGTTCGTTTTGCTCGGTGTGTGAGAAATTAGGGGAGACAACAAGTACTGAAGGTGCGACAAGCCTAGGAACTACTTACTGACATACTGATTATTATGTATCAACCTAATGCTAATATAATGTGTAATGTAAAGCCCCTGAATGCCCTGGTAAATAGGATATCTAAAATAGTATACAAATGGCAATGACATTATGATATATCCTCAGGATAGGCAATAGTGATCAGAACTGTACATTGATGAATCTGATTGATCTACATGGGTAAGTGAGTGAAATGAGTTGACACCACTGTCACACATCAAACCCATGTGAGTAAATTGAACACAGGTCTTCAGCCGGACAAGCCATCACTTTACCCTGTACCCACCACCCTATCTATGCCTTAAAGACAGCACGGAGTTTACCTTGATTGCACAATATTTAAATTTATGAACATATTCTGATATACCGAATAACCATAGACATGTCCACATTCAGATTACTGGCTAGCTATTCTCGAAACGTTCGTAGCCCTACCAACTTCTTAAGCCCATTCTTAACACATTGGCTAAGACAAAAGTTGAGAATTCTTAGGGCTACGAACGTTTCGAGAATAAGGGTTGCTCGCTGTGTGAGAAGTTAGGGGAGACAACTCCAGGAGCCTTATGGTGTTCTGAGTGTGAAGTGTTCCTCTGCAAGATGCATCGTGCAAGTCCAGCATCACATGACCATGAAATGTGTGACCTTTCAGGAGAGGTGAAGGTCAAAAGACGCAAGTTTGTATGCAGGGAACACAAGGGTGAGGTTATAAAGTTCGTCTGTGAAGACTGTCACAAAGCCGTGTGTCAGACATGTTGCGTAATTTACCACAGGAAATGTGAGTCTGTCGTTACCATGGAATCATTGATGCCAACCATAAAGTATCACTTGAGAAAGAACGTGAATGAATTGTCAAAGAAAATAGATAGAAGCCAAATGTTGCTTCAGAAAAGGCACACACAAAAAGAGAAGAAAAGAGAAAAGTAAAGTAGATATTGAAAACAACATCAAATCTGCTGTTGTTGAGAGAGTCATCGCCAGCATCAGACAGAAGGAAAAACTGCTGATGAATGAAGTTAAGGACATTACATATCAACAAACACAGCAACATAAGGCAGATATTAAACTTGAAGAGATCGAGATGCAGATGTACAGACAACATTGTGAGTTCATAGACCAGGCCTTGGTATCGGACTGTGAGATGGGCCTGTATGACGCGTATCAGGCCCGGGAGTCTGGAGCTGTAGAGATGGAGGATGTCAGGGATACAGAGGCAACAGACACCCGGGAGAATATATGGAATCAGGTTTACACCAGACACTGACAATGTTCTGAAGGTCCTGGATAACCTACAGTTAGGGAAGATTGACGTCACATACCAGGATCGAGAGCAATATCTGCCAATTCCAGTGCTGGTTGATGGGAGGGTGTCGGATGATGATGAGGAGCCTTTCCTACAAGACGTTACAGTTCTGGTTGTAGATGGTGTACAGACATGTGTTGTTACGGACCCAAAAAACAAATGTGTGAAATCATATTTCCCAAGAACTAATCACTCATGCCATAGTAAGCTGGATAACACTCCACATGCGATAACACTGTTGACTGAGAAGCGAGTGATGGTTGCTGTCAAACGTTCCCTCCAGATTGTAACAATAAAAATGACCCCTGACCTGGTGCTGCTCTCTACCACCACAACCCGTACGGGTTACTTCAGTTTGGGCTGTTCTGAATCCTTCATGTCTAGCAGCAGGTCATTGGAAATGTGTTGATATCCTGGACATGGCTGGACACGTGTTGAGGTCAATCACTACATTCAATGATGACTCGCTATTTACCTACCCCGCCTACATGTGTGTCAACACCAAGGGCAAGATGCTTGTGTCTGACTGTGGGAAGAGGTCTGTGACATGTCTGACGCCAGAGAGGGATGTTGTGTGGAGATCTGCGCCTGCCAAATACGGACCACTCACCTTCCCTTGTAATATCACAACTACCACGAAAGGGGACATCTTGCTTCTAGACACTGCTAGGGTAATACAGCTGACAGAGTCGGGGGAGTTTGTCAGAGAATATCGACACATCGTTGATTATCCACGGGGATTGTATGTAGACAGACATGAGACAGTGCTTGTGTGTCACGAAAATAAAAAATTACTGGAACTCAAATTCGAATAGTCATGGATTCACTGCGTGCATCCTAGCATCAGTAAAACATGAACTACACTATAACTGCTTGACAACGACATTAGAATCTATGTCGCAACGTCGCCTGTACAGAATACTGAAATTGTATATCCAGAAACAGAATTATCCTCAGTCCTTATCTCATCAATTTCTAGAATGCCAATCAAAGAAGAAATAACCAATTTGGTAGTCCAATCATGAAGCCACAATCAAGCCCGGGTTGAATTCAGGAATGAATTGCGGTTATTGAAGGGAAAGAATCGGTCACACAAGAACTGCAATGGGCTTCAATGTTTAAAGAGCTGATCCGAAAGCAAGAACGAAGTAAACAGTTTGACAATAAGGTCTGCAATGGTTATACTATTGTTATGAATGCACAGTGCCATTTAGAAAGGACAGGATGAGTGTTAGATAGTTGTCATTGTTTACTGGTGATTAGGTACCTGACTCTGAGAGTGTAGGTTCGATTCTCGTATGGTATTCAACCAGAAACATAAAAAGAATTTGCACTTGTGAATGTGTGTAATGTGAAATGTAACATATGCTACGTCAATTCGTAATGACCTGTACTACTATGATATTTTTGTACAAATTGTATGGTTAGCATTCATGTTAACGGAGTCCAATAAGCATCTCCTCCTGCAGTAGTTGTCTCCCTTACAGTATAAGAACCCATGTGTTACCTGCATCCACCCCCGTATGTATTTCTATAGATAGGAATGTTAGCCCTGCACAACCTGCTGTGACTTGATTTGGTGTTTATTGCAATAATTGTAAAGTCCACCAATTCTTTCAGATGTTCAAATATTGTAAATATATTTTATTGTAATCAAAGTGACATGCTCGAGAAAAGTGATACATTTCCCCTTCCTGCAATATTGGAATTCCAACACTCTATATGGATCAAGTCTGAGGGTTATTCCAGAGAACGGGACTGCATCAGGCAGTTATGAGACATTATAACGTTTGTTGCTTATAGTTTGGTCTTGTTGTGTGGGATTTACAGTTTTCATATACTAATAATGTAAACATATTGTAATTGTATTGTAAATATTCTTGAGTTTATTGTAATGTGCAGTATCACCGCTTAAGTGTTATCACGCCTTAAACAGTTCAACGTACAAGTTGGAAAGTATAACCTTTATACATTTAGATTACTTGTGCATGTACAAGTTGGAAGGTATAACCTCCAAGAATTTAGATTACCGGAGTCAAACATTACTGTATTGTTTGATCTGACCTAACTTATTCCTTAAGTAAGTATTGTAATCAATCATAGGCTACATTCCCCAGCAAGGCTTGTTGGGTCATGCTTACACTGATGTTTCATGTATGAGAACACTGGAAAGTATGCATTTGTCAAATCATGTCATCAGCAAACTATTGTGTATTTATCGGTTCCCAATTACTCAGTGTTTTTGGACCAATGGGATCGGGTGGTCAGGCTCGCTGACTTGGTTGATATGTAATCGGTTCCCAATTGCGCAGATCGATGCTCATGCTGCTGATCACTGGATTGTCTGGTCCAGATTCGATTATTTACAGACCGCCGCCATATAGCTGGAATATTGCTGAGTTTAGGCGTAAAAATAAACTCACTCACTCACTCAGTGTTTTTCGCGGTCTTGGTGTTCTTAGTGAAATATTGTTATCCATTCAGCATTTTTTTAAATCATTTCAGTGTGTAGATATGGTCAACATATGTTGTGATTATATTAATTGAAATATCAGAAGTAATACATAATTTGTTAACCGAAAGGTTGTGTTGACGGTATAAAATGCATGCTAAGTGCAGACGGAAAGGAAGATCACAGTTATATGAATTATATTTTTCAGCATTATAGTTTTATATTGTTTGTTTGGGATTAACATATATATCATACATACTTAGTAGCAGACAGAAAGAAGATCACAGTTATGCTTTGTTTACATCACTCAGAATAACTGTACCAAAGGAACATGTAATGTAGGGGGCCAATATAATTTTACATGAATTATATTTTTCAGTATTATAGTTTTATAGTATTTTATGTGGGACTAACCATTTTTAATATACTGTAAATTGTCAATAAATGTACTATAATAGAAATATTGTAAATATTCATGTGTGTTTACATTGATGATGTGATTTCAAATGGTTGGTTGCTTTTAAATTGTTTTACTATTTCTTGTTGTGTAAGAGGAACATTTCTAATGCGCTGAAATACCTAATACAGAAAAATACTAACATATTTTAATGATACAGTCATTATTTGTTTTCATAATGCTAATAGAATTGGCATTTGGATCAAAATCAGTCAAATATTTCTGAATATATCTTAACCTTTAAAAAGAACAGGCGTTCACGCTTAAGGAGTACATGAAATTCATCTTCAATAACATTTTGTCATTCACTTTTACAAAATAAACATAATCTCATTGTAATCAACTTTATTGTATCTTCCCGTTTCAACTGCTAAATAAAATGACCACATCTTAATTTCGACAGTGCAGATCACAGAGATGTAAAGGAATATCAGAATTTAAATATCTTCCCACATTTAAAAGTGTCTAAAATTGGGGAGTAATAAAAACATTTATGGAATAACCTGTATTAATTTAGATTGCCTGTACAAGGTGGAAAGAATATCCTGTATCAATTTTGATACGTACATGTACAAGCTGGAAGGAATAACCTGTATCAATTTAGAATACTAGAGTCCAAAGAATACTGTATTGGACATATATTGAAAACTTGGAATTACATGTATCTGGTTACAGGGCATTCTCTTCCCATAGAGGTTACTTGTCATATCTTCGTTAAAAAAACATCTGAAATGTCAACATCATGTCAACAATTTGACATCCTGATAATGATTGAGGGTCGTACAGTCAGCAGGTTTAAATCCTAGTTCAAAGGTAAACACACAGATGACAGACAACCCGTCATCACATGCATACGTTAGCTGGCAATACCACAAGATTAAGGAATAAATGTGTGTAAAGTCACATGGTATTATTTGACTTGAGAAACGCTCCCTTTAGCACAGATTATTCCATAAGATGTTGTCAACTACTGCACGTCTAGGGACTGGTTCTGTGCTTCCGCCGTCATACACACTACTACGATAACAGCTAATCAGGGGTTGGAATTCCATGCATAAATACAAATGGGCTCGTCCAAACTGTTCATCACTGAATGTCCAGAAACTTTATTCGATCAGCAAAAATCCCCGAACCTCCGTAATATCTATCACTATTCAACTTCATTAGGTACCATTTAAACCAAAGTTCCATCCCTCCAGCTTCCAGAGATATCTTATGGATATAGAATGGTGTTTGTTTGCTTTTGGATACTATGGACGATTTTGTCTCATATACTTACGTGTGAGGATATATGCGGGACCAATTTGCTTTAACCGGTTGCGAAATGAGTTATTGTTGACTAAACTAAGCCGCACTGGTACCCGCTACTTCACTATTAATTCTTGTAGCGCACCAGTACCATTCTACAAGAACTGGGCGTATTGGAGATGGTCATTTGTTTCTAAGCATCACATCCTTGCTCTTGGGTTTCATCAAATATGTAAATACCTGAGATGCACTTTGCTTCGAAAGCGGGCTTCCTCCCACATTCAGCGAAGACACTGTGATATAACGGGCGACATAATGTCCTAGCAGTGCAAAATAGAACTTAGAAGCCAATGTAACAATGTACACAGTCATGTCGATTTGATATCATGAAGAGAAGTTGCCAACTGTCTTCTCGTGATATGTCCCTGTCCGCAATGTTGCTCATAACTCACAATTACTCGCTCTCCTCTTTATCAAGAGGGACGATGAGAAATGTTTTGATCCACATTAAACGGTGAACACACCTGGAGAACGAGCCATGGAGGCGGAGATGCTTAAACGTGACATCAGAGGTATATTTAAAACAGTTAAGATGAATATGCGTTCTGTTCTTCTACCACTACTTCAATAATATTTGGTCAAACCGTTGAATGATAATTCACATATGAGGGAGGTGACCAGTAGCTGCATTGTTTTGGGCGAGAGACGATTGAAGGTTTGTTGAGTTTCGCGTAAAGCTGTTCGTAAAATGCATTCCATGTGTTTTGTTATTTTAATTGTGAAATCTGACTGTTTTAAGTAATCGTTAAAAATATATTATATAAATGCCTCTTTCGATGAACATTCAACTGCACCCATAATGCAAATAAAAGAATGAATTGGTTTTTGTTTGGTCCAGTT